GATGATTTAACATCATCAGGTCGGCTCAGATCGTTTGAATGAACTCGATGTTTTCGTTGTGGATTAAAGTGTTGATTTCTCTCCCAGTTTGACCCCGCCCCCTCAGCCCCTCTCATCCAATCGCAGCGGCCGTCTGATGAAGCCAACCCAAAGCCCCTCAGCCTCGCTCACCAGGCGGGCGGCTGTCATCCGTTCAGCTCCGCCTTATTTGGGCATCATGCTGTGGCTCCGCCCCCTGACCTCCTCTGCCCCCCCCCGCCTGGATGGAACAGCTTCTCTCGGGGTCTGCTCAGCACCTCCTCCTCTTCTTCAGCCGGCTGCTGTCCTCCAGGTGAGTGTTTACCTGTTAGAGGTGATTGGTTAAAACCGGGGCCACTCCCACTAATGACAAAAACACACCTGAGCGCAGTCGCTTCCATCACCCCACCTGGGTTGGCGCTGTCTTTGTGCAGAGCAGCGTGAATGTGCGAGCTGCGGGACGAGGAGCGCCCTCCTGTGGAGGAGGGTGGCAGCGGCGGAACACCTGTGTTACACCTGCAGCCTGAGAGCGGACGACGGGAGGAAGGACCGGAACACGCCGCTGCTGAGGCCGAGGAGGCGAGCGGTGAGGTCACCACCACACACCGATGCTCAGCAACACGTCACCATAGAAACCGATCCACCTAAGAGAGGGGAGGAAGGTAGTGGGCGGAGTTAGAGGCGAGCAACACATCAGGCTGCAGGATCAGGGGGCGGGGCCAGAAGAGCAGGACTAGATCAGACTGAGGAGCCGGTTTACATGTTTTTCTCTTTCCAGATGGCGGCAGCCAGGAGAGGAACCCGCTGCTCCAACTGTGAGACAGAAACCACGTCTCTGTGGAGAAGGAACGCTGCAGGAGAACCCGTCTGCAACGCCTGCGGACTTTACTACAAACTGCACCAGGTCCTGCAGCGCCCAACGCAAAGCCTAAAAAAGCATTAAAAGTTCTGCTAAATGGGGCTTATAAAACATCCGTCTGTAAGAGATGCATAATATTAAAGGAATAATAAGTAAATAGTAAATAATTTAATAAGGAAAATCACCCAAAAATTATAATAAAACACGGTTTTCCTGGACTTTAAGTGGGAAAAGATGCATAAAAAGAATCAGTCTTCTTCTAATGAGATCCAGCAGCTCATCCGGTCCCGACAGTGCAGGTCTGCAACCTATAACCAGTAGCCTCTCACTAGTAACCAGTTAGCTTTATCTAATAACTTGGCCTTTAACCATTGACCAACAGCCTAAAACAAGTAACCTGTAACTAATCACATGTGACCTTTAACCTGTAACCAGGTTCATCAGAAACCTCTAGCTGTTAAACTTGAACCAGAAAAACCAAACTAACCAGTAACCAGTAACCCATAACCAGTATCATGTTACCTGAAACATTTCAAATAATAACCTGTGACCTCTAGAAAAGGTGCAACCAGTAACATTTTTACTGGTAACTAGTAGCCTCTAACCAGTTACCAGAAACCCATGATGTGTAACCAGTAAACTGACCAATAACCAGTAGCCTCTTCTTAGTTACATGTAACCTCTGACCCCAATGGGTAACATTTTGTTTAACTAGTTACAGACAACCAGTAACTGGTTACCTCCAACCAGTTAGCTTAACCAGTAACCTCAGGCTCAGCCAGACTGCGGAACCAGAACCGTTCTGAGTTCTAACCCTCCTGTCTGCAGGTCCAGCGGCCGCTGATCCTGAAGAAAGAAGAGATCCAAACCAGGAAGAGGAAAGCGGCCAATAGGACGACGGCGAGGAGGAGAGCCGACCAATCAGGGCGCCGGCTGCCCGGCCTGGACCCTTCTACCCCGCCGGCTCACCGCTGCTCCACCGTGCAGTAAACGGGACCGGGAGTTCTGGACCTGGCTGTTGCTCTGTGGATGGATACGTCTGCGCTTCGGTTCTGGCAGAGCTGGACGTCACCTGGAGATTAGCCGATTTCAGAGGAAACCTCTTTGGTTCCTAGAACCTTCTCCGGTCTGAAGGTATCAGGAACCAGCTGCAGCTCTCTGACCTGCTTTGTCTTCTGGAAATAAAATGATCTGAAACCCAAAGCTGCCTGTTTGGTTCTGTGACTGCTGGTTAAAAAAAAAGTAAAAAACAAAAATCAATCCACTGGACTTTGTTTCCAAGACGTTTCTCTTCCATCCAGGAAGATTTTTCAATCCAAAATGTCAGAAATAGCGTTTAGTTCCAGGTTTTATCCAGCAGCCCAACAAAGCCTGGTTTTAGTTTAGAAAACATGCAGATAGAAACGGATGAACGGGTCCCCCCCTTTGGAATGGGGGTCGTTTGGCTTCTTTCTTGGGCTGCTGGATAAAACCTGGAACTAAACGCTATTTCTGACATTTTGGATTGAAAAATCTTCCTGAATGGAAGAGAAACGTCTTCAAACTTGGAAACAAAGAACAGAGGATTGATTTTAACTTTTTTGGTAAATCATTTCTTAAAATGAAGTTATTTGACTCAGTAAATAAAAGGATCTTTTAATGGAAAAAGTTTCCCTCTAAGATAAAATATTTAGATATGCGGATTAAATAAGATCACAGAGTTGTGTTTTTATTCTTATTTTTACATTAATCATCTTTTTTCCATCGGAAAATTGTCTTATAAGATCAGTCAACAGGAAATATGCCTCTTTCTATAAAATTTGATTGACCAATATTTATATTTTTCCAATGTAGGATGAGCTGCATAGATAAAGGCTCAATGAATGTGATGAAATGTTGAGACAGCAGCTCAGAAAGCATGTGATGCAGACACTTAGGAAAATAAAAATGGCAATATTAGAGAAAGTCCATCAAATGTGAAGCAACGTCCTAGAAAAGAAAAAAAAACTTTTCAGTTTAAGCCTCTCAAAACAAACTTTAGAGATGAACGTCTCTCGGTAAACATGTCGATGGAAATGTTGCCTGTAGTGCAGCCTGAGCTGAACCCGTCTAATAAATGACGGATGGTCGGTTTGGGAGGTTCTGCGATCCGGATTAACACCCCCTGTACTCAGGGGCGGATTCAGGAAGTGTGGGGCCCCTGGCAAAGACAGGCAGGGGGCCCTCTGAATGGAGAAGACAACACATAGAACAGCCCCAT